CGATCCAGCCTTAGAGGTAAGGGCATCTAAAATTAGCTACATTTCACATTATTCTCCTGCTAACTTAAGCATCGGAGCCCGTGTGACTAGAGTCGCAGCGGTTTAGCTCATCTGGTTTTGCAGGTACTAGTCCCGGATCAACAAGTTTGATAGGTGCGAGGAGGTGAAMCGGAGGACCGAAATCCACGCATCAACAACATCATTTTTATATAGCAACTAACTTTACAACATAACCATGGTGATATAGCTTTTAGTAATTACTAGTAAAACACCGTTCATCACACGCTAAATTTATAGTTTTATTTTAAAGTATAAAAAAATATTAGAAAATAATAAATTAGTAAAAATTATAACTTAATTAGCTTTTTAAAAATAGAAGACATTAGTTAATTAGCTTTTTAAAAATAGAAGACATTAGTTTTAATGTTTTATTCTTATTTACATTATTTTTTTAGAAATTAATTTCACATGATATGAATAATTTTTTCATACCATTTAATTCAATGCATACTGTGTCATATAAATGTTAAACTAATTTATTTTGATTTCTTTTATATACAATGCTATATCTAATTTCATATTTTTTTTGTTACATTATATATATGAGAAATTTATACTTGAAAAAAAATTACACTCCATCCATTATAATATGATTTATATTATAATTATAATTTAAAGTCAATTATAAATTAATTAATTATTAAATATATCATTAAAATAATATAATATAATACCATTAAGAATGACATAAAAAATTGTATTTTTCATTTAAATTTTTACCTCCTACATCTTATACCTACTTTATTTGGCTATTCACATATTATGATTGAATTGAAAATGATAAATTATAATATACAAATCACAACTTCTAATTTACAAAATTATTATATTTGATTCATTTTTTAGAGGAAAAAAGTATTAAATGAACAGATAATGAAAAGAAAAACAATAGGAATGAGTTGCTATTTTTTTCTTTTTTATTTTAACACCCGCCAAGAGTTAACCCACCATTTCATATCCCCAAATCCCTCTCATCCTCTTCTCCTCCACCAAATTGCTCACGTCCACAACCGCACTTGACAGCTACGGGGAGACGACCCAATCAATTGAGATTTCAACCCACACAATTTTCACAAATTTATTGAATTGATCATATGAAGTTATGTCGAGGACAATTGATGGTTTTGTGGAAGCTGAAATGGCGGCGACGTGAGTGGAGAAATTGCAACGCATATARTATTTTGCTAAAAGGATTGTCGCATAATGGACCTTCATCGAAATTGAGAGAACACTTTGAGAAGATTTTAGTAGAATATAGATTGGCAATTGTGACGACTCTTATTAAATTGGCGGATGARGGGCTTTCTATGGATGAACTCTACAATCACCGATTCATCTTAGACTTAGAAATCCCAATAATTATATGGAGAGGAGAAAGAGAGGTAGAGAAAACTTTTCAAGTTCCATAATTAATACTTAGATGGTGGTCTTTGGAGAGGGTGAGAGGAAGAAGAAACACTTCAAATTACATAATTAAATACTTAATTAAAATAGATGATAAAACTTTTCRTATTCTAACTTTAAAGGTAAAATTCAGTGAAATTATAATTTTAGAATATAAAAAGAAAAATAAGAGATAAAGAGATTAATTTGGGTGGATTAATAAATTCTACTAATTSACTTGCCATTACTTCATCAAGACCATAAATACGAGAAATGCCATTTTTCAAAAAACTTCATTTATTCWTGTGTGGATGACCRACACACCTATATTTCATGGTTTYGATAGGATGAGTAATAAATTTGGTAGGTGGGGAAAGAATTAATGAAAAGTGAATGATAAAGAAATATAAGGAGAGATTTATGAGAGAATAAATGAAATTGAGAAACGTGAGATTTGTAAGGGTGGGGATAAAGTATTTAAAAAAAAACTATAAGAAAAGAGAGAAATTGGGGAAGTGGTGTAGGAATGGGAGAGAGAGGAAGAAAGTAGGAGATATGACAAATTTACCGTCAAAATTTTTGTAAAAATTAGTTATTAAAAAATGACAAAATTAACCTAAAAAATTTATCCTCATCYCACCTTTTATATATAATATAGATTAAATTATATTCCGATCTTATAGTTTTTTAAAGAATTATATATTACTAATAATATATGTGAAAAAACAAACATCTATTTTTATTTTTTTTTCTTTTAGTTAGAATTATCACATTAGAAGATAGATTCGAACTTACAACCTATAAAGTGAGACACCGACGTCGAATCACTTTAATTATGTTTAGGTCGGTAAAATACATAACCTATTAAACACTCTAGATTTACAATTTAACATATTACTTTACTAGTTATTTTCTCGTTTGCAAATAATGATACTATATATAAATTCATCATTTATAAAGGAAACTGAAAATTCAATTCACTTTAAAATCTAATTATATAAAATAAATTTGATTAAATTAAAATTGTAAACATTAACATCTATTAGAACATGTAAAAGAAATTATATAAAACTATATGATATACTATTTTATTATATGTCTAATGTTTCTCTATTTAAAAAAATATGCCTAATTTTTGCCATCCATAATATAATAAAACGAGCCAATCYAAGCATAGCTGAATAATACACCTATCAATCTTCAAAAGTCGGTGATTCAATCCCTACTCTACCATTGTTAAAATAAAAAATTTAAGTGTATGATATGCAGAGAAAAAAAGAAAATAGTTTCCAAAAAACGAACTCAAGGCGATGTATTGGGCTGGGCCGGCCATTTGGAACAGGCACGATAAGTTCGGCCCACCTTATTACCGTCCACGAGTTTGAGCCCAGTTTAAATGAAGCCCACCAAAGGCGAAGTATTGGGCTGGGCCGTTTTCGAGCTATAGGGCCGCGTAAAAAAGCAGGCTTCCAAAACCCTAATCTCYTTTTTCATATAAATTGTCCGCTTCGATTTTCTTTGCCCTACACTCGGAACTTCCTCTCTCAGAGCTAGGGTTGTTGCAGGAGGCGAACCAGGTGAGCTACCAGAACTCCGGTAAAAAATATGGCTGCACCGATCGAGTCGGTCCAGTGTTTCGGCCGGAAAAAGACGGCGGTGGCGGTGACGTACTGTAAGCGCGGTAGGGGTTTGATTAAGATCAATGGGTGCCCAATCGAACTTGTGGAGCCTGAGATCCTCCGTTTCAAGGCTTATGAGCCCATCCTCCTCCTTGGACGACACAGGTTCTCTGGAGTCGACATGCGCATCAGGGTCAAGGGTGGTGGTCACACCTCGCAGATTTACGCCATTCGTCAGAGCATAGCGAAGGCCTTGGTCGCGTTCTACCAGAAGTACGTGGATGAGCAGAGCAAGAAGGAAATTAAGGATATCCTCGTCAGGTACGATAGGACCTTGCTAGTCGCGGATCCCCGACGTTGCGAGCCCAAGAAGTTTGGTGGTCGTGGAGCTCGTGCGAGGTTCCAGAAATCTTACCGTTGAACCCAATATATCCCATTTTGGAAAAGACTTTGTTATGGTTTTTGGCTTGCGGTTCTTTTTTATGCTTTCGAATTTACAAGGTTTTTTTTGGTTTAACCCTTTAATCTGTTCTCTCATAAAATTAGAATTTTTGTCGTAATGATTTAGACTCTTTTTTGCAATTATATTATTCGGCATTGGAATGCTCTTAGCTGATTAGTAGCCTGGATCTACAATAGCAGTTTGAATGGTGTTACTTTTCTCTGCAAGCTCTGTCACACCGTGTGTTTCCTAATTCTTATTATTCCCATTCTACGAATTTATGTGTTAGGGCGTAGTGTTTGACTTGGTTGATAGATTTGGTTGACAAACGCCTTCTGGTTGTCTCGCCTTGTGGCACATCCCTGTTCAAGTTAGCTGCTTGTGCTAAGAATTTGCCTTTGTCTGTGTCATTGATTGCAGCCCATGTACCTGATAGTGTCCAATCATGAATGGTTTTTGTTTGTGAATTTGGTTATCACTTTGTTCTCTTGGTGTATGGTTATCCCGAGCTCATTATGTAAATTTTAAATTGTAATTTTGCCATCCAAGTGTGTAATGCTGTGGTATATGGTTCACATTTTAACATTGACTGGAAATTTTTATTGACTTGAAAATGGGGGCATTAACAGTGTTTATTTCAGGCCTTGGAAAGAAACTCTCAAGTCAGTTTGTTGGACAATGTACTTCAGTACCTCTTTAGAGTCTTAGAAATTGTTAAAACTGATCAATTTTAAGTTATGTGACATCGTGSATGCAGTATATTGTTTGTGTTTGGATATGAGTGTAACCTACTTGCTAGAAATATATTAGTTTCTGCCGATGTCCTTACATATTTTGCCACATGATTATTTAAGATGTATAAGTCATGTCTCCCATTGCTTTTAATGATACAAGTATCAGTCTGCAAGGTTTTTTTGCTACTAAAGCATGAAGGCATTTTCTGTTGAGTTTTCTTCTTGGAAGAATGGGTAGCCAATAGGGTGCTAGTTAATCCATTTGCCATTACTTGACGTTAGGCTGAAGGTCAGCCCTAAGGGGAAGGTTGGTTGATAAAGGTTTGGGGTCTCTTTGTGATACTGGTTTAGAGGTCTCAAGTTCGATTCTTTGGGTGTGCTTAATACCAAAAACTCTTGATGTCTCTCTCGCATCTTGGTCTTAGGTTGGGCATGGGTGCTCATGGGTATAGGGACTTCCCATCTTTAAAAAAAGATATTAAGTTGAAGATATATTGTGGAAACACTTTAGGATCAAGTAAATATGTTTCACTGTTACTTGGATCAATTTTTGTTGTAGTCTTATTCTGTTATATGTGTGTGTGTGTGTRTATATATATATTAGTTTTTAAACTTTCCATGCTTGTTCTATTTTGTGTTTGTACTTTTGTTACTATTATAAATCTAATCTTTGTCACATTTGTTACTATTCTTCATTACTAGTTGATTGATTCCTTTTAAAGTTTTGGCTTCAATGATTATGAATATCCATTATGTTCGAGTTAATAGCCAAATTGTTATCGAATAGAGAGTAAATACAAGAATTATATCTCATACAAGTTAGTTTTATGTAATTTAATTTATATGTTCGTTCGTAGTAAATTTATGCCTGAACAGAACCAAATTGATACTATTGGAGATAAAACTATTAAGTTACATGTTTCTGGATAGAATTTTCAGAATCGTTTGTAATTTGGAATGAAAATGGCTGATAATGTAGTGCTGGTCGTGTGGATGACCCTTCACATGGTTTGATGTGCAAAATTATATTATATGTAATAATATATTTTGACTTATCACTTTGTTATTTATTTAACTTTTTTTTTTAGTCAAAAGGGGTGAGGATTTGGACTTTCCACTTCTGGTCTAAGTTATAGTTATATGGTTTAGTTAGAAGTTATAGTTATATGGTTTAGTTAGTTGAGACATCGGTGTTCATGGACTAGGGATTTTTTGGACCAATTCGAAAATTCGGTTGGGTTAAAGGGATTTTTTGGACCAACTCGAAAATTCGAGTTGGTTAGTTTGTGGACTCCATCGAACCAAAGTTGATAGGCAACCCAATCAGGTTCCAATAAGAGTTCTGTAACAAAAGTTCCACCAAAATTTTGTGGGTTTATGGGACTGATTTTGCAGAACAAAAGAAAGATRAAAAGCAATATAGAGACAGAGAGGGGGAAAACACCTGAAAATGACAGCGAGRTCAGGCACTCCCAAAAGGTTTCATAACCCAACTCAAACGGAGGATCTTCGACTCCACGAGTTCGGAGAATCTCTGGCTCCAAGGCAACCAAGTTTCTACTCTCTATTTTGCTTTTCTGTTACCTAGTTCCTTTGGCAAGTAGTTCTCCGACTCTCCCACTTTTATGATTTTCAAGTTTCTTGATTYTGAAACAAATTACGCAGAGGGAAGGTTTATATTACGGATGCAGGGCGATGAGCCCAGAATTGCCCCTTTGGGTCATATTATTGGGCAAGTAAGACTGTAGGATTGGGTCAATTGCTTGGCTTTTGCAATGAAGAACCGCACAGAATGTTGGAGTATGAGTACATGCCTAATGMTTCCCTCGCAGATTTTCTTTTCGGGTCTTCAAAACCAAATTGGTATCTGTTGGGATAAAAATTGTGGAGACAAATATTTGAAAAAGTCCAAACCTTTCTTTATTCTTCTTTTGTTGGTGGTGTGTGGCAAAATCAGCCGACAGTTCAAAACAAATTTGGTGAGTGGCGGTCGAAAACGATTTTGCACACAAATTTGAGTGGCGGCAAAGTTGTGTTGTTGCACAAACTTGTTGGCGGTGGCAGTGAGTGTTGGCAGAGCTTTAGAGGGGAGTTTTGGAAGTTGTAGTGCATTGTCGGCAACCAAATCTTGTGAGTATTGTGAGGTTTTTAATTATTGTATTTCTTAGGATTATATTGTTGTAGTTTCTAGAAACTAATTGACTTTTGTCGAGGCTTCTAGATTTGAGAGATTATATTATTGTCCACATATATCATAGTAGAACCCGTTATCGCGGAAYACTGAAATATTATTGGTAAGTAAATTTTTCCAACAATATCAAAAGAATTCAATARGTTGACACTCACCAGTCCAATTTCAAAATACCCTAGGTTGACAGAGCATGCTCAACCCACTAAGCTGAAGGAAATTTTAATGACAAATATAACAAATAAATTATACATTACAAACTTCAACCTCACCAGAGTTTTGCCAAATCTTGAAACTCGTCATGAACCAATGGTTTCGTATGAATTTCATACTACTCAAATGAGATTTATTTCACCAAGTTTCATTTCATCWCTTTATTTATGTTTCAAACCTCACACTTTTTCATCAAACTAATGGTAATTTGGTACTTTCACCTTGCTAATAAATTAAAAAATATTTTTTGGTAAAAAAAAAAGTTTTGAAAACTYCTGGAAAACAGAAAAGATAATRGGCAGAACTATACCARGGTCAAACAACATCGAAAGTAGAAAAGATGAATAGGATTATTCCTAYCTTCAGGATTACTGTAGATGTCAAAATCCCATAATATTTTACTCTAACGATTTTATAAATATWAAAAACATCATGACTGATAAAATGTCAACAGATTCTGATCTAGTTGAGTTCTKGAGGGATTATTATAAGAAATTRGGACTTTTAGTTGAAGAAAGTAATAAGGAGGTGAGTAAGAAGAAGACTCYGTCATCCATCTTTTGAATCAGAAAAAAGAATCAGAGTTGTCTTCTATGGATTTGAGAGATTTACAAATTAAGTATTGAATACATGTCTATGAATTTTGATGAACAATCAATTTTAAGGAATCGTCTAAAATAATTAATATTTTAATAAAGAGCAAAGTGTACCTCACTCTAGTTTAAAACCCCTTACACACAAAAAAAGTTGAAATGATGGAACATCAAACAAGTTTAATTGACTGGTAGAGTGAATTAATATTTTAATTCACTCTCCTCTAGAGGATGTTTGTCTCCCCTCATTTGTCCCACATATTACACCGTTGACTGGTAACRTTATCCCATGTAACCTACGCGATGACAAATCTCCATATTATGATCAATTGTACTAGAATAAGGTTGAGTATGAGTTTCAGAGCGATGATGCGTATGATTATGAAGAATATCATACTGAGGATGGGGTTGAGGACGAAGATAGTGAAGCAAAGATTGAAAACAATGGTAGGAATGTGTATAATAACGGGGAGGGAGATGTGCTTGAAGACCATTTTGAGAATCAAGGTCGACCTGTTCATGAGTCGCATATAGTGAGTGAGAGAATGCACCTTGTCAAACAGTTGAAGGAGTAGTTTCACGTTCGATGCAGAATATCGTAACTGGTGATGAGACAGACTATGTAAGTGAAATTGTTGTTAAGGGTATTTTCCGATCGAAAGAAGAACTACGCTTCAAGCTGTCTGTGTTAGCTATGAAGCTTAATTTTGAATTTAAGGTATAATGGTAATTTCAAATTCACAGTAGTGGTTCTCTTTTTCACGGTCGTGGTACAACGAGTGGTTAGGTGAAACCTCGTCCATGAGAGATATTGCATTAACACCACGACCGTGTTGATTCGATCACGCCCGTGGTTTATGGTTCATTTGCGACTTCACTTTTGGTTTYCATATTGAGGCTAAAATAGTAATTTAACCCTTCTATATTCTTTTCAAATAATAGATTGGGCCAGAAAAGTCAATTTTTCTAATTGAGGTCATTAGAGCAAATGAGAAACTTTTCTAGGTCGTCAAAATCCCTAATTTCGAAGTACGCAAAACTCAAGTGGGCAGAACACTCTCAATCCACTCAGCRGAAAAGGAATTTTAATTACTCATAAGAGATTTCTTTGACCAAGTTTCATTTCATTGCTTTATCCATGACTCAGACCTCTCTCTCTCTTTTTTTTTATCAAACTAATAGTAGTTTTGTATTTTTGTCTTCGCTAACAAATCAGAAAAATATCTTTTGGGTCAATAAACAAGTTCCGAAAATTTGGGTCAATTACGTAAATCCAAAAACCTTTTGAATTATTTTGGTCAATTTTCCCTATTGTTTATTCAACTCTTAAAATTATCTTGTTTTTGTATTGTTG